CAAAACCCCAAAACCCCAAAACCCCATAGATCATGATTTTTGTGTAAATTTGAATAGAATAATCAGTGTAAATTTAATAATCTTTAAATTCAAATGTCAAAATCGTCTTAATCAATAAAACTCCAAGACGGTCAATAAAACTAAGATAACATATCGTAGATTGCATCCCCAACTAATGGGGGTTAGTAATATGAATTACATGAATTACCACTAGATCAAAGGCCAAATAAGATATCATCATGCACAATGCCTGTTTCAAATATCCTTGCACCGGAGTAAGTATAATAATCATTTAAATTAGCAATTTATTTAGATTGCTTTTGTTTTCAATCAAAAATCAGCGTCTGCAGCACATATATAACGAGGAAAAAGATGAGCTGGAGAAATCATTTGCAGATGTCAAAAAGGTACTAGATAACCGTACTTACAAGTATGAAGTGCTCATTGCATTTTGGATTACGGTGCACTTATAGAAACTAGAGGCTGCTAAGTTAGGTATGTCAAATCAATAATCTATAAAATAAAATATTAAAACTAAGGATTATTATAGTGTATGATCTAGACCCAATAATTGAAAAAATGGTCACTAATCTAAGAAGTGCGGGATAATACTTACTTGATGAAAAGAAACGGAAAGAGGAGGAAACAAAGAAGAAAAGTATGATGGGATTCTTCAGCAAGTCAAAATAAAATAACCCTTAAGCCCCCTAAACTAACAGTAACAGCAATAATACACAGCAAAACAATGGAGGATTGTCTCCCTCTCAACCTGCAACTAGCACAGACAAAGAAAAATCTATACCGGGATCATTTAGCGGAGAGGCCGCATTGTACCGCATGGAAAATAAAAACGAGCTACTACCACCAGAGGAAGAGGATAAAAAAGTTTCAGAATCAGATGAGTAATAGCAATAAAATATTCCACCAGGCCATGAAGTATCACAAAGGTACAGTCATCTTGCCAACACTTTAAAAAAGAAAAAAGAATCAAAGCCGGCTGAAGTCACGAACAATAACTAAACTGGTATCTACACAATAGATGATTTGATTGACCTAAAATTTCTGCTCTAATCAGAAGTAGCAATTCCGGTTAATACTAATATAATGAGAATCGCACTCAACTTTCTTGAGGAAAAAATAGCAAGGTAAATTTCATTATCATTTATAACTACCGTGTAGTCTCATTGTGGCTTATTACAAAGTAAAGATTGATGAGGAAATGATCCTGAGAGCAATTAAGACCGGCCAACTCGACTTTCTGTACTGTGTGTTTTCATACAACAGGAATTTTCAGGAAGTTCACAAAGAAGATGCAAATGAATAAGCATAAACAGACTCAGATGAAGGAGACATGAATGGGCTTCATTACAAAATTTTTACTTTTGACTTACTTTTCAAGAAAGTGCTAGAGTTCTGCGAAGACTAAGCAACGATCAGGATTAAAGCTATTGTACATTGGAAGATCAAATCGTCTGAGAATATTCTTAAGAGTCTGCTAATAAATAATCAGGATAAGATAGCATGGTATTATTCATTGATGAATAAATCTTTATAGTGAGTATGCAATGCATTACATGCATGACGCAGGAATAGATTTAATGATATTTGCTTTGAGAAACTATAACGAAATTTTCCTAAAATATGCATTAAGACAATCTATCTTTGGTTTAAGTTTCCTTTGTAAGGATGTAATGATTGAAGAATTTCTTGGTATTTTAAAGTATATTTAATCTTAATTTCATAACTACATACAGAACTGGAACAAAGACTGAATTGGTACTTAATACGCTTATATTTGCTGATTTCTCTAGATGGTCATAGGTCAAGCTAAGGGTATTCATTGACTTTATTACAGAAATAGTAAAAAGAGGTCATGAGCAGAATAGAATTTTGCTATGTTACAATCCAATATAAGTAATTACACTTTCTTGTGAGTTCTTGACAAAAATCGGAAAAAGTATAAGCATTTTTAGATAAGAGGGTAAGGTACTTTCTGCTAAGTTATTGGGACTTGGTAGAAGAATAATCGATAACATGGATGAAGAAGTCATTCCTAAGGTCTTTCTAGATATAGATTTTAAAGATCGGACAGTGCTTAAGATAATCACATCAAATGGCTATGTACCCTTGATGTAGAATGAAAAAGTTAGTGTTCTTTTAGAGGAAATTTGGGTAGGTAAGCCTACTTACGAGTGTGATGGTAAACTTTCAGATTTTTCTCTTTTAACTTTTCTATCTAATGCTCCGTTGAAGAAACTGCCTGGTAAATAGATAACCCCAGGTGAATTACTAAGTAATAATTTCAAGCCTAGTATAAATGAAGAAAAATTTTGGTATTAGTTCAAATTCAGACATTCTTCCATTAGCTATATATTTCTTAAAGACTTTGTTTGTTCAATGCTATTACTTGCTGTTTTCCAGTATATAAATTTTCAGTATTTAGCTCTTTTCAAACAAGCGAACTTTGCTGACTTGGATGATGATGCCAGATCTCTTAAAGTTAAAGAAAATATTGATATCTATAATCAGTTCAATTATTATGGGACATTATTGTCAGCTACTCTATTTCTTCATGTTATTACAAAGTAACTCTTCAACATTTTTGCTGAAATTAAGATGCCCTACGATAAATGGACTATCATTGATATTATGGCAGCTTTTATGAACTTAATTTGCTTTAATTTGGTTGGAAATGTGACTGAATAATAAATATTAGATTAGAATCAAAAGAAAACTTTGGATTACTATGTAATTATTGTCATTTTGCTCTCATGGACTAGATTTTTTATGTACTTCCTGGTAGTCAAGCCAATTTCTAAATTGCTCATGATTTTGATTAGAGTTGTACTGAATACTATGACATTTAACTTCATTATGTTTTCTATAGTGATAATCAATGTATCAATATTCCAGCTATACTTTCAAGAGACGAGTCCGTTATTCTACAACTTGGCTATAACTTTTAGGACCTTATTTGATGCATTGATTGGAACCTATGCTTATTTAGTGATTGAAGATATGGCTCTTTTTTCTATTTTCCAAATCATTCACATTTTCATAACCAAGATAGTCTTGGTTAATTTCCTTGTTGCAATATTGGAGTCTACTTTCAAAGAAATGTAAGAGTAAGGTAACTTTGCCTTCCAAGTTAATCAGTATCAATTTATTGAGAGATACTCTATCGCTATGCAAGATGAGTGGGGCTATTCTTAGCTAGTAATTCTTCCACCGCCCATTAACTTTTTCACAATATTCCTCATTCCAACTGTAATGAGAAAGGGACTTATGAAAAGAGCATCCGAAGTTTTTAGCAAGTTCATTTTCTGGTTTGAAAATATGTTCTACCTCATGATTATGCTTATATACTTGTTAATGCTTGTTCCATTAATATACTTGAGAATGATTTATAACATAGTCAAGTTGGCTTCAGTCTTTAACTTGATTTGGCTTTTATCACTTTGGCTATTGTTTGGACCTATCTTCTTGATTTAGGGAGTGGGCAAGGACATGTTTTACTTTATGAAAACTTTATGTGATTATAAAGATGAGAATGATTAAAACTAGGAAAAAGAAGCAGAGGATTTCAAACAGGATTTAATTGTGCTTTATAACGAAATCTTAGAAGTAATGAGAGCTATCTTGCAGTTATTTAAAGAGAGAAATCAAGCTCATAGAAGGAAAAGATTAAGAATGAAGAAAAAGTTGATGAAATCTTAAACTTAGAGGTAAAAACACTAACAAGAAAATAATCCAGCTAATTTAAAGAGGCATTTTCTTGATGATGACCTTGAAGAAGATGATTAGGGTTTTACAATCACTAAGGAACTTATTATAGAGGCTTGGAGTAAATGGAGACCTTCTTCATCTCAGTAGAACTCCAAGCTTACAACACCTGATTAATCTTTGATAAAGGAAAGATAAAAAAATCCCAATAAGAGTAAGGATGCTAGAGCAATTTTCGGAGATATTTTTATGGCTAAACTTCTATCAGGCATTAAAATGAAAAATTACAACTAAAAAAAAGAATATAAACCGAAGGAAAAGTAAATGGGTACTTAGAATGGGAAAAATAAAAATGAATTTGTAAACAACTTTACTTACAAACTCAAAGAGTAATTGCTCGAAGAAGAGAATGAGCAGAAAATGCAAAAAATACCTAAAGATGAGTTGCAAATTATGCAGGAATTTCTAAATAGATTTTTATTCGTTTCTGATACTTCTTCGAAAGAATCAATGGATCTCAAGCTTTCCTTGAAATCTTTACCTTTTAAAGTTAATGATCACAATGTCTACAGAATAGGAATGATACACTTTAATATGATTTAAAAATCCCTGATTGCCTTCTAAAATGATGATTAAGACGAGCTATTTAGATACTATGACAATCGAAACAAGACTAGATATAATAAGCTTAATGTCAAAGCCTCAGAAACCAAGTTTGACACCTAAAATTTGAGGTAGCTTGGTAGCTCTCTTCTGAGTATTCTTAATAAGATTAACTTCATTGGGAAATACTTTAAGAACACTAATATTCTTAATAATGCTCCTGCTGAATTCAAGAAGTTTTATGAAAAAAAGAGGTTATAAAAAGTTCACCCTGAGGGCAGAGGAAGGCGGCAAACTATTATAAGAAGATAAAGTTTTACTGATAAAGTAAAAGATTAGAAATTACCGCCTATTCATCCAAAAAGAAACAAAGGTCAATTCCAGATTTGAGTCTTGGATATATTCCTGGAAAAAAAGCTAATAATCAAATTAAACTTAATTTCATAAATAAATAAAAATTACTCATGCATGGGGTTTTGGGGTTTTGGGGTTTTGGGG